CGCCCTACTCTCTTCAGCATTTGCGCCGCCCCCAGCAACAACAGCGGCCCTGCTCGAGACCTCCCCCCTTTCTATTCAGGGCGAGGTCCTTGCCTCGCCGCCGGCAGTCCCAGTCCCCATCTCCACCAAGGCAATCGTGTCGCTCGATATTCCATTGTGCTTTACCCTTGGCTGGGGCTCCACTGGCGGTCTCGTATCGGCGCAGCATGGCGCGGGCATGCGTTTTTGAGGAGGGATATGTTGAACTTATTCGGAGGAAGTGTTTGCAAGACCTCATCGGGCGGGAGATCTGAGAATGGGAATAACGGACCCAGCTATAGAACAGCACTCCCCCATGATGGGGACGGTTAGCATGATGCTCGCATGCTTCGTGTGGAAACATCGAAGCATGAGGGTAGAATGATTTTTGAATCCTCACTGCTGAAGAATGATTATTGTTGATCCCCATCACCAGTGCATGCTGTTTTTTATGAATCAAAGTGTGCCCCTCGACGCTCGCACCCTGTTTTTTGGAGAGGGAACGTCTTGGTGCTCAAACTGGGCTCCTGGCCCCCCGGATTACAACAACAACGGTTCCCGCCTGAGACTTCCTCCAAATTTACTCAGGACTCCCGCTCCTGAGACTTCCTCACAATTTACTCAGGATCGGTGCCCCCGCTTTTGACCCCCTCGCAATTTAGTTAGGACCCCCGCTCCCACCTGAGACGTCCTCACAGTTTACTCAGGAACGGCGCTCCCGCTTGAGACTTCCTCGCACTTGAACCAAGACTTCCTCGCAATTTAATCGAGACCCGGCTCCCGCCAGAGAACCCTTTCACATGTTATTCAGGAATTGCGCTCTCGCCTGTGACTTCCATGCGATGTATTCAGAAATCGCGCTTTCGACGCTCAGGAAACACGCTGCGCCAAGGACGCCGTTACAATTTACTTCGTGTTCGCGCTTTCGCCATACTCAGGCATCCCGCTTGAATTTCCCACCCGCCCGACCCGCTCGTCAGGGGATCGCACGCCCGTCGTGGGCTCCCGCCCGAAACTTCCTTCAGGAACGGCGTTTTTGCCTAGGACTTCCTCGAACGTTCACGCTCTTACCTTCCTGCTCCTCCTCCCTCTCCATCCTCCCTCCTCCCCTCTCTCCCTCCTCTCTTCCCCTTCCTTATGCCTCTCTGCCTTATCCCCACTCCCTCCTCTCCCTCCTCCCTTATCCCTCCCCTCTCCTGCCTCCTCCCTCCCTCTTTCTTTCTTTCTCTCTCTCTCTCTATATATATCTTTCTCTCTCTCTCTCTTTCTCTTTCTCTCTCCCCTCTCTCTCTCCTTCTTTACCTCTCTTATATGTCATTATCTCTCTCTCTCTCTCTCTCGTTCTCGCTCTCTCTCTCTCTCTCTCTATCTGCCTCTAATCAACCGCCCCCCTCTTCGCTCCTTCTCTCCTGGCGTTTTCCCTCTTCCTTCGTCCTCCCTCTCCCTTCCTCCCACTCTCCCTCGTTCTCCCCCTCCTCTTTTTGCAGGGCGCACACCAGTTTCAATGGCGGGCACATGTACGCCCACGAAAAATTGACCGCCCGTTGAGGTTTGCCCCCCTGTCTAAGCCCGCCGCCCCACGCAAAGAGAAATACTCCCCCCAAAGGGGGTGTGAGCGAAGACAAAAAGGGCGGGTATCGAGGTTTTGAATGACACGCGGGCAAGTAAGAGCGAACAGTCTCATACTGATTGTTGATGTTGTTGATGCTGTTGTTGTCGCAAGCGTTTTCTCACAAACAAACAAGAGTACTTGAGGTAAAGCCAAGTTGGGGACAGACGACTCGGGGCGAAACAATGCGTCCTAAGGAAGGGGTCGAGAACTCTCAGGCTTTTGGGTGGAGAAACATATAAGTATGGCCTCGGTGGTCTGGGGATGGAGGCCGCTCAGATGATCGGTCTGGGTCTGGTGGTCTGGGGGTGGAATGTTGAGCGGACGGGATCGTCCCGGAGGTCAAGGCCAAGAGGCGAAGGCGAGGCCAACGGAGACCGAGCCGCCTGGGGACGACGAGGCACCGCGCTCCACCGACGCCGCCCCGCCATGGCCCTCACATCCAAGGTTTCCCAGCGCAGCAAAAGCACGACTGGAACCCTGGACCCCATCTCTCTGCGTCGCTTCTCTCGAGGCGCATCGATCTCTGAGTGAGAAACGCCGGGCGAAGATGCCCGCTGCGAACAAATTGCTTCGTCCGGATCTCAAGGTTCGCCCCCGTCACCCCAGGGTCAGGTCGGGCATGTCCTCCTACAGGCGCATGTTGTAAGAAACGTGGAAAATAACCAAAACATGCGCCAAATTTAATGGACAAAAATATAGAAAAGGCGTCCCCAGACTAAATTCTGACTCTCGCCATCGCTCGGACGTCCATTCCCTGTGTTTTCCCCAACCATCCTCTGGTGTTGGGTCCTCGTTTTGAAGAGACAGCGCCCCGCGTCCCTCCCTCCTCCTCCCCCTCCTCCCTCCTCCCCCTCCTCCCTCCTCCCTCCTCCATTTCGGCACACCCCTCACACGTTTCGTGGCCCCATAGGGAGCTCCACCGAAGGCCCCAGTGCTGCCACCCGCATGCGTCACCCACACCCAATTCGGCACACCCCTCACACGCTTCGTGGCCCCATAGGAGCTCCGCCGAAGGCCCCAGTGCTGCGGCCCGCATTCGTCACCCACACCCAATTCGGCACACCCCTCACACGTTTCGTGGCCCCATAGGAGCTCCGCCGAAGGCCCCAGTGCTGCCGCCCGCATGCGTCACCCACACACAATTCGGCACACCCCTCACACGCTTCGTGGCCCCATAGGAGCTCCGCCGAAGGCCCCAGTGCTGCCGCCCGCATGCGTCACCCACACCCAATTCGGCACACCCCTCACACCCTTCGTGGCCCCATAGGAGCTCCGCCGAAGGCCCCAGTGCTGCCGCCCGCATGCGTCACCCACACCCAATTCGGCACACCCCTCACACGTTTCGTGGCCCCATAGGAGCTCCGCCGAAGGCCCCAGTGCTGCCGCCCGCATGCGTCACCCACACCCAATTCGGCACACCCCTCACACGCTTCGTGGCCCCATAGGAGCTCCGCCGAAGGCCCCAGTGCTGCCGCCCGCATGCGTCACCCACACCCAATTCGGCACACCCCTCACACGTTTCGTGGCCCCATAGGAGCTCCGCCGAAGGCCCCAGTGCTGCCGCCCGCATGCGTCACCCACACCCAATTCGGCACACCCCTCACACGTTTCGTGGCCCCATAGGAGCTCCGCCGAAGGCCCCAGTGCTGCCGCCCGCATGCGTCACCCACACCCAATTCGGCACACCCCTCACACGTTTCGTGGCCCCAGAGGGAGCTCCGCCGAAGGCCCCAGTGCTGCCCGCATGCGTCACGCGCACCCAATTCGGCACACCCCTCACACGTTTCGTTGCCCCAAAGGGAGCTCCGCCGACCCCAGTGCTGCCGCCAGCATGCGTCACCCACACCCAATTCGGCACACCCCTCACACGTTTCGTGGCCCCATAGGGAGCTCCGCCGAAGGCCCCAGTGCCGCCGCCCGCATGCGCCACGCACACCCAATTCGGCACACCCCTCACACGTTTCGTGGCCCCATAGGGAGCTCCGCCGAAGGCCCCAAAGCTGCCGCCCGCATGCGTCCCGCACACCCATTTCGGCACACCCCTTACACGTTTCGTGGCCCCATAGGGAACTCCACCGAAGGCCCCAGTGCTGCCGCCCGCATGCGTCACGCACACCCAATTCGGCACACCCCTCACACGTTTCGTGGCCCCATAGGGAGCTCCGCCGAAGGCCCCAGTGCAGCCGCCCGCATGCGTCACGCACACTCAATTCGGCACACCCCTCAGACGTTTCGTGGCTCCAAAAGGAGCGTGTGCCCGCATGCGTGCCGCACATTGATTTCGGCACACCCCTCACAAGTTTTGTGGCCCCATAGGGAGCTCCGCCGAAGGCCCCAGTGGGTGTGCCCGCATGCGTCCCGCACACCCATTTCGGTACACCCCTCACGCGTTTCGTGGCCCCATAGGGAGCTCCGCCGAAAGTCCCGGTGGGTGTGCCCGCATGCGTCCCGCACACCCATTTCGGCATACCCTTCACACGCTTCGTGGTCCCATAGGGAGCTCCACCGAAGGCCCCAGTGGGTGTGCCCGCATGCGTCCCGCACACCCATTTCGGCACACCCCTCAAGCGTTTCGTGACCCCTCACACGTTTCGTGGTCCCGTAGGGAGCTCCACCGAAGGCCCCAGTGGGTGTGCCCGCATGCGTCCCGCACACCCATTTCGGCACACCCCTCGCACGTTTCGTGGCCCCGTAGGGGGCTCCACCGAAGGTTCCAGTGCTGCCGCCCGCATGCGTCCCGCACACCCATTTCGGCACACCCCTCACGCGTTTCGTGACCCCTCACACGTTTCGTGGTCCCATAGGGAGCTCCACCGAAGGCCCCAGTGGGTGTGCCCGCATGCGTCCCGCACACCCATTTCGGCACACCCCTCGTACGTTTCGTGGTCCCGTAGGGGGCTCCACCGAAGAAGATATTCACAATTGCGGTACTCACAATTGCATATGGTTGGGTCCTTCGCCAAGATATTTTTCGGCTTCGTGCGCGTCTTTTTCGCCAAATGATCAAGGATGCTCCTCGATGGTCCGCGACGAATGAAAAATGCACACGTCCGAGCGATGCCAAGGACTACTGTATTCTAAAATATCCCTCCTGTAGAGGGAAGTGCCCGACTTACCCCCAGGGGCAGGAGAGCCCAGAATCGAATCGATAAGTCGAATCGGCGATCGAAATGGATCGGATCGGCGGAAATCGGCAGCCGAATCGGAAAAAGTCGAATCGGCGGAAATCGGCAGGCTAAAAGGCCTCCAGTAAGGAATCGGAGCCCAAAGTCGAATCGAATCGGAATCGGAAGCCATCGAAGTCGAATCGAATCGAATCGGAGGAATTGAAACGAGCCCTGCAGGGGTCGAAGGGGGGGGAGGAGGGCGCCTCGACCGCGGCGGCCTCCCGCGCCGCGCCCGCGTCGCTGAGCCTGCGCGCGGAGGCGGCCAGCACGTCCTGCTGCTCGGCCTCCCCGGCGCAACGTGCCGAAGGGCGGCCGCCGCGGGGGGCTCCGGCTCCCGAGGGGTGCCATACGGCGGAGCTCGCGGGAGGCGCTTCCCAAAAGGGCCCAGGGACACACGAATAAAAACACAAACATCCTAGGATTCCCAATTTTCGAACATTTTCTGGATTTTCGTCTTCCCCCCACTTCCTGTAGTTTCCTATGTTCTCCTTGAATTCGGTGATTCATTGTGTCTGTGTGTTTTGTCCCCTCCTGACTTCCCCGGGGGTGCTGAGCGCCAGAGGAGGACGAGGGTACCGACCAGAGGAGATAATAGAATTCGCCAGCCCAACGGGCCAGAGGCGTGCTAAGATCTCCGCGCGGGGCGGCTCCTGGGGGGGCCCTGGACGAAAAGTACCCCGGGCGGTCCGACCCAGAGACGTTTTTTCCTTCTGGGCGCGGCTTTCAGGCGACCCAGAGCGCTCCTAGAGGGCCCCAAGAATCCCCAAGACGGTCCAAGAGGGCTCCGAGTCGCAGACCGATCGGTCCAAGGCGCCCAAGGTAGCCTCCAGACGGCCGCAGACGCCCCCAAGACGCCTAAAGATGCCTCGAAGAAGCGTCTCAAGAGGGCCCCAGGAGACAAAAAACACAGATTCCCCCTCTGGTTTTTGAATGATTTGGGCGTTCTCGTCTGTTCGGCTGCCCGAAGCTCGAAGGTGGCCCAAGAGGACCCAAATATCGCCCCAAGACGGCACAAGAAGCCTCCAAGAGAACCCCAAGAGGGCCCAAGAGGGCCCCAAGACGGCCCAAGATTGCCCCACACAGTCCAAGAGGGCCCCAAAAAGGCTCCAGAGGCGCCCAAGATCGCACAAGAGGGCCCCAAGACGGCCCCAAAGGGGGCCCAAGAGGGGGAACATGAACCACCAAGTCGAGCCTTCGGCCCCAAGAGGCCCTCAGGAGGCCTCAAGAGGCCCCCAAGATTGCTCAGGAGGCCCTCTGGAGGCCCCACGAGGTCCCCAAGAGGCTCAAAAAGAGGCGCCAAGAGACCCCCAAATGGCCCCCACGAGGCTGCAAGAGGCCACGAAGGCGCAGGCAAACAGCTGCGATGGCGCAATATGGGCCAGCGGAATGAGCGAAGCGATTCAATAACAAACGCCATCAACATAAATTGTTGGCGCTCCGCGCGGATTCCTTGGATCTGCGCTGGAGCCCCCTCCCTGGTGCGCGGAGCGCGCCAGGAGCGGCGCCGGAAGCGCCGCCCAGCGCGGCTCCAAGAAGTCCGCGCGGAGCGCCAAAAGTTTATGTTTATAGCATGTTTTCTTCTTCGCGGAGAGGGTACCGAGCTAACCGCTGCGGCAAGTTCGTGACGCGCCGACTTCGGCGCTGATTCCTGACACCGTGGGGATCGTTCAATCTTGGACGATCGGCCGCTTACGAAACGTCCGATCGCTTCACATCGACCGGTTCGGGGTCGCCGGCGGCATTCAACGTTGAGCGCCAACGGCGGGGTCGCCGACCCCCTGACACGACGCGGACCTACCGTACCCTTGCCTTGTTTTTGCCTTTTCGGGCCTCCCCCGCGTGGCCACCGCTGGGGACGCCTCGAAGTTTTGGTCAGAGCGTACCCCAGCGGTGTCGGTACCTGCTGGTCTCCCCAGAGCTTGCTCTCTCGGGGGCGAGGTGAAGATAGGTTTAGAGTGCAGGTTCAAGCCTCGGGGGAGCTTATGGGAAGGGGGGAGGAGAGACCTGGACCTTGGCCTTGCTCTGGCGGGCCTCTTCCTGATGGACAGGGGCCCTCTGTCAAGATCATCCTCTCGCAAAAGGACTCGTCCCGCTCTTCGGCGGCAGCCCGCAGGAGAGACAGGACAATACACCCAACGCCGCTTCCGTGGGCGGTCGAAGCGTGTGCATTATCGGAGGACGAGGACGGACCTCCGCAAGCAGCAGCTTGGCGGTGTCTGCACCGCACCGCCCGTACACACGCTGCATGATGGAAAGGAGGAATGGGAACGGAGGAGGAGGAGGAGGAGGAGGAGGAGGAGGAGGACCAGTAGGAACCCAAGAGCCATCAATGATGTTGGAATACACCCTCCCTCCAAACTCCCTCTTCATAGGCCCCTACAACGGTTCATGTCCATTGAAAGATCTGCCTCGTTGGAAGACAACCGTTTGAAGACCCGAAAGCATGCCAAAACCTTGTTCTCGGGATGACAACGCCACAGATCAACCCGACTGTTGCGCCTTGACGATCCAGGATCGTGCCAGAACGCCATTCGTAGAATTTCAACGCCGCGAACCAACGTAATTGTTGCACCAGCAAAATCCTGAATCCTTCCAGAACACCATCTCTTGTACGTTGACGGTGGGAGTCCGTGAAACTCTTGTGAATTTTCTGAACGGATGTGCGCGGCGCTGCGGCGAGAACCACCTCTTGGAAAGGAACCGCCCGCAATATGTGAAACTCTTGCAAAATGTTTAGAACGAATGTGAGCGGCGCTAAAGCGAGAAACAAATTCTGAAAACGGTTAATCCTCAATTCGTGAAGCCCTTGCCAATGTTTACAACGGTTGTGCGCGGCGCTAAGGCGAGAGCCACATTTTGAAAACGGGTTATCCTAAATATGTGGAGCTCTTGAACCTTTTTAAAACGAACTTTCGCGGCGCTAGACCGAGCGCCACAGTTTGAAAGTGACCCGCCCTCCATCTGTGAAGCTGTTGCCAACCTTTAAGCTTCGGAGTCATAAATGGTGAGGAAGTCTCAAGCGAAACGCCCGGCCCGCCCTAAAATGGCCTCGGGGTGCGACAGGGATAATTTCCTGTTCCTAAGGTACAGGAATGGAGGAGGAAGGGGAGACGGGGAAAGGAGGCAAGAGGAGCCCTCTTTACCCCACCGCTCGCCCGGACGCAAATCTCCGACGCTAGGATTGTGTCGCTGCATTTTGCCTCGATGCCGGCCAGCCCGGGGGGCAAATATCGGGCCTCAGTCCCGACTACCCCCGTGAAAGGGGTCGGGACCCTTGGGGCTGAGGATTGAAGAAATCAGATCGTCGGATTTCTGGGTGGATGCATGTGCAAATGAAGGGCATGTGGGGGAAGTGCATATTCAAGTTTGGGGCGAGAAGAAGGGAAGATAGGGAGGAGAGGAGGACGAGGAGGAGAAGGAGAAGAATGAGGAGGAAAAGGAGGAGGAGGATGAGGAGGAGGATGAGGAGAAATAGGAATAATAGGAATACATGATCACAGTACCAGTAATACGAATGAGTCTATAAGAGCAGCGTGTGAAGGCGCAACATGTCAGTTCGAATATAATTTGCTTGTGCCTATTGTTTTAAACATGCGCTGTTTTACATGTTGCCTCCCGCAGCAGTGGCAATGCAAGCTGGATACCTGATGACAAGCACCACGCGTCTGAACTCCGTGAATCAACACGTGAACTTGATGTGAAGAAGACAGGGCACTGCGCGAGCCGGCTGCGAACCGCCGAATATGACGATACCGCTGCCGTCGCTGCCTCAGGGCGGCACGTCCACTGTGGAAACGCAGGGGGAGGGAGGAGAGGAGAAGGAGGAAAAGGAGAGGGGGACGAGGGGAGAAAGACCTTCACTACCCCACCCCGCGCGCCGGGACCCACCAGACGGCCGAGCCTGAGTCTGCTCCCGATCTGGGTCCTCTTCCACCTTCCGTCCCCTCCCGCTACTCGCGCTCCTGCTGATGCTCTTCCGTCTCGTCGTCGTCGCCCTCCTCCTCCTCCTCCATTATTCCTCCTCCTTCGCCTTATGTTTACTCCTCTTCTTAGTCCACCTCCTCCTCCTTCACCATTCCTCCTACGCCTACGCCCTTGTCTCTCCCAACCCCCTCGCACATCCCTCGAATGTGGAACGAGAGGGTATCAAAACGAATGTATTTTCATGCTTGGGACCATCTTGTGTGTGGCGGCGCCGCCACGGTATCGCATCCGTGGCGGGGGATCGGGACACACGGTGGGCGTCCCCTTTTGCGCGCTTGCCCTTGCCCCGTTCACATTACAGAACAACATCAGCGTACGCTTGTGGATGCCATGACAATGGACACTCTAACAGTCCTATCATTGAATAAAAAGTGTGTCCACAATGTCAGAAACAGGTTTTCAAACATATTCCTTTTTACACGTGTAAGATATGATTAAGACATTTGGAAAGTATTTGGCAACATGTTCCCTTTCCATTGATCGCCGTCCGAAAGCCTACGCCCTTGTCCCCCCCCGTCCCCACATCCCTGCCCTCGTCCCTCCGATGAGCCTGGAAGCCCGGCGCGACGAGCCTCCCTCGACGGCACCTCCTCCGCAGCAAGAGCAGCCCCGAGACGAGCGATTGGCCTCCCCCGACCGGGGGCTGCTGAGGGTGCCCGTGGCCCGACCCAGACATGACCGCGTCGTGACACAAATCAGAACGGGAGCTTGTTGGCCGCTTCGGGCCTCGGGGGGCCCTCGGGACCGTCAAACATCGACTCAGGACGAAAACCGGTCTTGGGGGAAGGGTCGGGACTTCCAGGGACCCCGTGTGGACAAAAATCAAGACGTCGCATGTCTGGGAAGGTGCGTGCCCTGTTCCCAAGGTGCCCCACAGCTTTCCGCTAGATTTGAGCGACGATCAAAAACGGGCCTTACGCGAGATGACGTCGCGACGTTACACGGCGGCTTACGCGGGCCGCAGCCGCGGCATGCTACATTGGAGACGAGGGCACTGACGCGCGACCTTACGCGGGCAACTTGCGCGCCACTGTCGTCGCAGACGACCCCGTTTTTTTACGTCGCTCATTTGGGAGTCCCTATAGGCCCTCTAGCCCTCGTGAGGGGTGCTCTGGAGGCTGTGGGGGCCTCCCTGGGAAACCCTGGGGCACCTCGGGCCAGGGGCACTTCTAGCAACACCCGGCCCAAGACTCTCGACCCCATTCCTCTGTGGAGGAGGAGGAGGAGGAGGACGAGGAGGAGGAGGAGGAGGAGGAGGGAGAGGAGGAGGAGGAGGAGGAGGAGGAGGAGGAGGAGGAGG